CATGATAGCACTGCCTTCCTCTGTCATCAACAGAGTGCTCCTTCAGTTTGGCAGCAGAAAGCCTTAGAGGGGTCATTTGACTGTGATGGCTCTGACCCCACAGCTTGTCTTGTTGGCATTGATGGGGCTTGCATATGGGAATGAATTTAATGCAGACCCAAATTTATTGCGCAGATTCCTTAATTTTTGTTTTCAGAAGATGGCTGATTCAAATAGAAATGTACACTGGCTTTTACATAGTCCTCCCTTTACCTTAATATGTATAAAAGCTCGAGCAGGTTATGGAAAATAATGATTTTATTTTCTTTAAAATAACTCATGCAAAATAAAACAGGTGTCAGTTGGTGAGTCAGTAGCAGTTCTTTTTCATTTTCCAGGATACAGCATTTTGGGTCTTGGGCAACAAGGCAGTTAACATCACCCAGTAGAACCTGATTTTGACAGTGAAGAGGGAAAAGTGATCAATACAGCTAAGATCATTATTTCTCAAGTCAGCATTAGGACTGCAGGAAAGCGATGGTGTTTCTAATTTTTTTTTTTAAATATATTTTATTGATTTTTAACAGAGAGGAAGGGAGAGAGGTAGAGAGCTAGAAACGTCGATGAGAGAAACATCGGCCAGCTGCCTCTTGCACACCCCCTACCGGGGATGTGCCCGAAACCAATGTACATGCCCTTGACCGGAATCGAACCTGGGACCTTTCAGTCCGCAGACCGACGCTCTACCACTGAGCCAACCGGCTTCGGCAACGATGGTGTTTCTAATTTAACAGTCTAGAACCACCCTTCTTTTCCTTGCCTCTCCCAATCTGCTTTCTGAAACACCTGGAGTTCTACACAAATCCAGGTTACTGTAGTAAGATTTACAACTTCAAAAATGTGTGGAACTCCTCTCTTATATGAAAAGTGTTGAGATCCACTGCCTTAAATGGGATTTGGAAACCTAGGATGGCATCCTAAGCTTCAGTGTTCACTACTTTAAGAATCATTTGGGGCATTAAAAAGGTACTTATTAGAGAGAGACTCTTGGACTTGAGGCCTTTGGTTAAATATGTAGTCAGTTCTTGCTACAACAAATAAGGTTGGTTTACTCTGTTCTCAAGCAGAGGTCTGTCAAAGTGGGTGCTTCTGGAGGCTGGATTGACCTTTTGTCTGCTGCTTAGGCAGGGATACAGGTGTACAAGCAGCTGCAGCACCTGAAGGAGAAGGGGCAAGAATCTTTTGGGCCTCTTGGACAAACTGGGTCTTCATTGTTGTCCATTTAGTTTTACTCTTCTTGGCAAATGAACCACAGCTCTATGGGAATTGTCGTTTCCCCTGCCCAGGGCCAGGTTCAGGCAGTTCTCGCAAACATTCTCTCATCATCAGGCTCTCCTTCATTGCTACTTCTCTGCTAGAAGCCCATTTGGTTTTCACATGTCTTTAAAAGAAAAAGGGAAACAGCCTTCCTTCAATGTGACTATTATTCTAAACTACTTTTCCTCCCATTTCTTTTCAACCTCATTCTAAAAACTAGTCTTTATATTTGCTTCAGCTTCAACTCACTTTTGCACCCATAATCTGTACAGAGAAGATTTACCTAAACTCTCTTCCAAGAGTTTTCATTGACATCTTTGTGGATAAATCAGGTGATTCTTTTATAGTCCCTTTCCTCTTGCTCAGACTCTGCTTCATAACAACACTGCCTCTCCAATCCTATGGAAGTTTTTTATTAGTTCCACAGCTTCATCTGTGTTCCCAAAATATGGATGTTTTGGAGGCCTGGGCCAAATTGTGACTCTACTGTGTAGTAATTATGTAACATTAGGTAAGTTGCAGCTTTTCCCTCGGTTTCCTCATTTATAAAAGAGAGGAAATGATACATCAGCAGGTTGTGAAGATGCCTGGCATTTAGTAAGTACTTAATAAGTATCAGCCATTGTCATTATCGTCATCATCAATTGTATCACGTGTGCATTCATGGTTTTGGAACAGGATCTGGCAAGGCTGTCCAGTGTCCTTTTGCATGCTCCCAGTGGTGAAAGGCCTGAGGAGTACTTTGCATTAACTCAAATGCCTGTTATGTAGCAGGCCCAGGACCTCTTGAGTCCTCTCAGCTGCAGTTCTTCCTGGCCCAGAGTTGCACCCAAACCACTGAAGAGATCTGTTTCTGCTCAGAGAGACAGAATAAGAATTAATGTCTTCTCTTTTAAAAAACTAGCAAGAAAAAAATCAGATTTTTACTGGTTATCCAAAGACAAGAGTCGATCTTTGGACATGTTAACCATAACGTGTTTTATCTGCTCAGTCACACTCACATGGAAATTGTTGACTCAGCTGATTGATCCTATTAACGAAAAAAAGAAACTGAAAGCCCAGGGCTATTCCATAGTCCATGCCATAAAGCCAGGGCTCTTGCTGGCTCATAATACACTGTTCACATAGTATAAAGTCATAAAACCAAGGAAGGGCCTGTGGCTGGTCACATGATCTCATATGGGTTTAGAATGCTGGGAGGAGGGAATTTTGGGTGAGTCTAGCATTTTACTTCTTCCCTGGACTAGATATGCTCCTGTAAATTTTCAGGAATTCTATATTTTGTGCTTTAAGGTTTTTTTGTTGTTGGATTTTACTTCTTGTTGAATACCCTGGGAAGAACAAAATAAAGTTCATTGAACCATTCTTTTGGACTCACTAAGGAGTAGCCAGGGTTCTCTTGAAGGGAAGACGTGCTATGCTTACCATAGTGTTCTGAAGGTCTTGTGCTGAGTTTGTACCAATCCAGCCTTCTTTGGGGACCTCTTGTTCTCAAGACATTCTGTGTCGTTCATTAAAAGTTATCACCCTGAACATTTCCAAGTGTTCCATCATTCATAGATTTTGCTCTTTTCCCCCTCTTCCCAGATTCAAATGAATAGTTAAATAAGAGCTAATATCGCTTTCTGGGAACTGTGAATTGAAAAAGATAGGCAAATTTAAAAAGAGCCTGCAATGTAAATATGCATAGCAATTAGATGGATCAGTGACAGATTATATAGAATTTGGAGGGCTAGGTGGGGTCTGAAAGACATTCTAGTCAGATAAGTAATTGCCACGGAGAGAAATACTTTGCGGTCACAGAGCCCATTAATGACAGAGGCTGGGTGCACTGTCTCCTGGATTCCTAAGCTCTTCCTTGCCGCTCTGCCACCTATCCTACAGAACCAATTTTATCCCATATCTATCCAGGGAGGCAGGGTAGTTAGCCCCTTCTAATTATGTGTCCTTTTTTTCTCATTTAATCACCTAATAATTAGCCCTAATAAGAAGTCCCCTGTGGCAGAAATGGGAAAAAGCCTCTGAAGTGGCCTTGCAACCAGAGTTGCAAGCCCTCATTGCTAGGTACTCATTCTTCCTATATCAGCTGACTCACTTAACTAGAGAAATATAGTTGGCTTCTCCATCCTTGTGCCTTTGCCTGTGCTCTTCTCCTGGACTGGAGGGACCCTTTTCTACAAATTCCACCTCAGTCTAACCCAGGGTTCACTATTTGTGTGTGTGTGTATGTACATGTATGTGTACGTGCGTGCGTGCACACACAGAGCCAAAGCCCTAATCAGGGGCCATCTTTCCTGAGGCCTCCCTAATCTGCTTAATTCCTAATCTGTACTACACAGGTTACAGTTATTGGTACTGCCCTGTGATTTGTCTGTGTACCGATATATTTATCTCAACTAGACAGTAAGTAAGCATCTGGGCTGAAGAAACCATGACTAATACATTTGGTTTCCCTACAGTACCTTGCACATAATTCACATCAGATAAAAATGGTCAAATATGAACAGTTTCCTTTTGAGGAAGTTGCCTTAAGGGTGCTATCAGAGGAAAGCAAGCCTGGAAGTTCTAGTACTTGTGAGGACTGCCCAGGCCTCACAAACTTCTCTGATACCCAGCCCAGCCTGAGGTCTATAAATTGAGGTTGTCAGGATTTACTTACAAGTGGATTTAGTTTTGCTAGCTGAGTGTGAATATTTTCTTTGCCCCTTTGCCCCGCTGTGTTCTGGTCACTTAGGATCCAGTGGGGTTATAATATAGAACTGGTCAAGTTTGCCCTACCCTGAGGAAAAAGCTTTGCTACTTCTCAGCACCCTGATGGCATGAAGGCACACTTCAACTCCTAGACAGCACTGCCTTTGGCTTTGTACCATCCTACCAGTTCAGCTGGTTGGCTGAAGTGGGTCTTCCAGGCAAGGGTGACTTCCAGGGACAGAGACACCTGACATCCATTTTATTGGTTCATTAACTTACTCCTCTGACAGACAGTACCTAGGCTACCGTGGGCATGGTATAGGTGTGGCTGCTTCCTGAATTGGCCCAATCTCATGCCCTTCCTGTGTTGACATCAAGCTCTGACAGCTTTCACGAGTCTTTTCAGCCCGGAAAGTTGAAGTAGTGACACAGCAGTGTGGCTTAATTGGAAATAATTTCAGTCTGAGGATTTGGCTGAAATCTAGGGCCTTGATGAAAAACTTTGTACTCACTCCCATCCTGAGCCAGCTTGCTCTTATCTTCCTGGCATGGCCACCTGTGGTCAGGCCCTAGCAGAGAATGAGTGGCATAAGCTCTTAGTTAAGTAGTATTTTCATGTTTTCAGACATAGCCAGGCTGAAGACTTGAAAGCAACGTAAAGAACCAAAGGGGATGGGAGGAGTGGAGTACAATCTCAGGAGCTGACAGACCTGAGTTTAAATCTAGGCTCTCCCACTGTCTAGCTGGTGATTTTGAATAAGCCAATAAGCTCTGAGCTTCAGGTTCCTGTGGAGCTACTTCTGAGTGCTGGTGAGGTAAGCCATTTCAAGCACTTGGCACCCTGACTGGCACACAGAGACTCTCAGTAGCAATAACTTTGTTTCCTCAGCCTGGTCCCACCTCACCCTCCTGCCTTCCTGCCCCCGTGCCGCTGTTGCAGAAAGACATACTTTCCTCACTGCTTGGACTAGGTCTTTATTTTGTTCCCTTTGCTTTTTCTCGTATTGCAACAGGCATCCCGGGCCCAAATCCTAGACAAAGCCACAGAGTATATCCAGTATATGCGAAGGAAAAACCACACACACCAGCAAGACATTGATGACCTCAAGCGGCAGAATGCTCTTCTGGAGCAGCAAGGTGAGCTCCTGAGCCTGTGGGGCAGCTGGCCCTGCTGCGCTCTGGCCAGGTCAGGGCTGTGCACCTGGGCCTGCAGAATCAGAACCGGGAGTGTGTGCTCCGAAGCGGCTGTGGCCCTGCTTCTGAGTAGCTGAGTGTTAGAGCCATCCTGAGGAAGTACCTGAGCCGCCAGTGAGAAATAATAGAGTCTAGGGTTCGACATCTGGAGACGTTTCTGAGATGATCTCTCCCCTTCTTGGGGCTTAGGTGCTCTGCCTGTAGTAGCAGGCACACCTGGCATCAGGTGTCTGAAAAGAACTGAGGTCCTTGGATTGGAGTGTGCTGTGTAAGTACCAGAAATCCAGGTGTTCAGGGTCAGTGAGCTCTCCCATTGCCAATGGTAGTCCACTCAGGGCAGCCTATGGGCCAGGCCCATGCTGTTCTCCAATGCTCACATCCGCCTTTTCCTACAACCACAGGGGAAAGCGAGAGCTGATCAAGTTCTTTGTTCCTGGGGAATTCACTTCTCTTCCTCCCTCATGGAAGATGCAAGTAAAAAGAAATGCAAGTAACCACTTGGGTTAGAACACGTCAAATAAAATAAAATAATATAAATGGGTTGACCTTGCAGGCTCAAGATGAGCTAAACTGAGGGATGGGCAGAGGGAGGCAGCAGCGGGTTGGTTCCCGGGCTGAGCAGCCTGCATGTAGGGGCTGTCAGAAGGCCCAGGTATTCTGTGTATTGGTGACTTGCTTCCAAGTGTCCAGCTTGTCTTTCCAAGTGGATCTGGTACAAGAGAGCTAAGCTAAAACCTTTCTTTGGCTGATACATCTTGTCATCCTTTCCTGCTGTTGTGTGGCCTTCACACCTTTATGGATCCTAGCATTGCCAGGCCAGCTTCTCCGCTGTCACTGCGCTGTTGGGTCCCACAGGGAGCTCCTGTCTCAACACTGGGCTTCTAAGGCAGGACGGTGACATCACAAGCCTTCTCTTTAGGGTTGAGTGGCAATGCAGAGTAGCTGGCCATGTCCACTGGGCTCCAGGTCTGGCTGGGAAAGGAGGGAGACGAAGTGTTGCTGGTGGAACAGCACCAGAAGAGAGTTATTTCTGAGCCTCAGGGCTCAGCAAGCCCTTCGGAAGAACAGGCTGGACCCTGACCTGAGACTCAGTTATTCTAGCTTTTCCTCTGTCTCAGAGGCTGTAACCCGCTCGCTTGGTTGCTTTTCAGTCCGTGCACTGGAGAAAGCGAGGTCGAGTGCCCAACTGCAGACCAACTACCCCTCCTCAGACAACAGCCTCTACACCAACGCCAAGGGCAGCGCCATCTCTGCCTTCGATGGGGGCTCGGACTCCAGCTCAGAGTCGGATACTGAAGAGCCCCAAAGCAGGAAGAAACTCCGGATGGAGGCCAGCTAAGCTCTGCTGGGCAGGCCAGCAATAAAACTGTCTGTCTCCTCCGTCGTCTCATCCTCCTTTCAGTTCATCCTTAGAACCCTCAGAACCATTTAAGGACTCTTTTTTTTCTTTTCTCTCTTTTTTTTAAATTTTATTTTTACATAGAAGCTCTTGGACAACAGCTCTCATTCTCCTTCCCCATTTCCACTTTTTTTTTTTTTTTTTTTTTTTTTATGTTTCCCTTCAGGGATTCCCTGTCCCCACCAGGAATTTTTAAACCAAAACACCCCAACTTGGCAGCTTTTTCTGTGGAGGACAGACGGCCGGCCGGACCTCTGAGCACATGGTGTCCTGACCACCCACCAGCTCCTCCAGCCCTGCCGGGCACAGGCCCGGAGGACTCCTGCCCCTCCCGGCCTCCCCGGGCCACCCTCGCCTCTGTTTGATAGACTTTGTGAATCTGTGGACTGCTCTACTTTGAGAAGATGACTGGTTTAAGAAGTGATGAGAATTAAAAAGCTATTTATCGCTCCTGTTGAAAGACCAGATCCTTGAAGAAGTTTGTGGTATGAAAGGAAGTGGGGACAGAGTTGCAGCACAGTCTTGGGCCTGTTTCACTCCTGCTTCTCTCAGCCAGCCTTCGGGAGGGCCGTGGGACACTCGTGGTGTGGGGGACGTCAGCAGTGAAGTGGCCGCCAGAGGGTGCTGGGGGCGGGAGGGGAGAGTGGGTGGGGTAGAGGTTTTGTATTGAGGGCCAGTGATGATGTTTTGATATTTATTTCCTGCTACTGAAATTTGAATCTGAGTGAATTGTCCCTATTTCTGATGATGTCGGTATTGCAAAGCGACAGATTCATAAAGTAATGATCAAATCTTCCTTTCCGTGTGTATTTCTAAGAAATAGAGCCAACTGATTTTGTATGTAAATACCAAGAGCATTTTATCTGGTACTAAACCCGCACCCCAGTGCGGCCCCTTCCCACCCTCACCCCACATCCTTTCAGACTGTTCTGGAACCTGTCCCCACGGTGACCCAGCCCTGATTCTGGCTGCGGTCAGCAGCTCCCAGTGAAGGGTTGTGTGTGTTTAGGCCTCATTTCTTTGTCTTTTTCCCACTCCGTTCCTGGCATTTGCTGATTTCTAGTGTATACTCTGTAGTCTCAGTCCGTGTTTGATTCCATTCCATGGAAATAAAAAGTATGTTGTACATACTGCCGAAGAATTGTCTTGCAAGTTAAGGCTTCCCCCTTTACTATAAGACTATAAATAAAAACTTATTTTATCCTTCTTGGTGGTGGTGTCTTCTTGCCCTTGCAAAGGCCAAGATGCTTAGGAAAAGAGCCCTGTGGAGGCTCCTAGGCTTGCGTGGAAGCCTGAGAGAGGAGCGGAGGTCACTTACGTGGCCTTACAAAACTGAGAGCAGCCATAAGCCAGAGCAGTTCCCTTTTTATATTTGTGCTCAGCTTAGCCCAGCAGGGCAGGGGGTGGATAAACTGGTGGTGGTGACTTTGCTCATTGGATAGAAGCTTTTATTATTTTTTAAATATTCTTATTGATTTCAGAGGGAGAGAGAAACATCAATGACGAGAGAGAATCATGGATCGGCTGCCTCCTGCACGCGCCCCTCCCATGGGGACCAAGCCCACAAACTGGGCATGTGCCCTGTCCAGGAATCAAACAGTGACTTCCTGGTTCATAGGTCGACGCTCAACCCCAGAGCCACACCCAGCTGGGCAGATAGAAGCTTTTAAAGTTCCAACAGGGATGGGGTCATTCAGGGCAGCATTTCTAGACCCAGTTCCTGCTAAATAAATGACTCTTAGGGAGTTGGTAGCCCAGGGCAGTGGGTTTGCGTTTCTCCTGGTAATGAATGCCCACTTCAAAGGCGACCGGTGTTCTCTAGGTCCTGTCAGTTTCTAGCGGTTCCAACATCGTTAGAGGAAGCAGCAGAGCTGGCAAGGGCTGGAAGTAAAGAAGGCTTCAGCAGCATCAAGTGAGGGACCAACTCCAGCCCAAACTTGTCTGGCCTGGAAAGGAAAAGGGTTTCTGGCCAGGACACAGCTCAGCTTTGGTTTTCCTGTCTGGCTGGCAGGAAATACTGCTGTACCTAGAGCAGGAGAGTGAAGTCAAAGCAGTTCTTTGCTTTGTCACTCTTTAGAATGGTACTGCCGGACCCCTATCAGACCCACAGTACCTCTTTTTGGTTAATGGGAGTTACAGGTGGGTCACGATTCTACAAGAGGCAGTTTGTAACATGATCAAACTCCTTCTCCCAACCATGATTGTAATAGAGGAAGCAAGGATGTTGGGAGCAATTGGAATGAGAAGTCAGGTGATTTCTTAAGCCCTCAAAGTCAGCATGCTTTCCTCCCCTTTTTCATTGCTTTTTACTGTATCTCTTTGCATGTCTGGCCGTAATTATAAATTCCACATCGCACCCAGCTGGCTTGGTCGGTGTAGGCATTATAACCGATTCAGGTTCTAAGCCGGGGATGAGATGCAAGGATGTGAAGCTGGGCGCCTGGTAGGCAGGGAACCAGCAAAGTGATAGGCAATGTCTCTGAGAGCCAGCTCCTGGCTCCAGCATATTAGCTGGACAAGGGGTTACATTTTAGGCTTCTCAAAATGTCAGTAAACCTGTTGGAAGAAGAGCCACAGCGGATAGCTGGCTCAGTGGGGAAATCGGAAGCCCTTGACTGACTTGCTGAGCAGACTGGCATGTGGGGAGAAAGGTGGTACAATGGGAGCAGCTGCCTGGAGAGAAACACGGTAAGAAACCCACGCTAGAGATTTGTAAAGGGGACTAGAGAGAGTCACAGCCACGCTCCTTCCGGTGTGTGTGTGTCCAGGAAACCAGTGTCCACCCACCAGGACAGCGACGTCTGACTGGCTTACTCTCAGATAGCAGTGTTATTCTCTGGTTTGTCCTCGCTGTTGCGCTCTGGACAGCCCCATGCAATGCCAGAGAACCTGGTGACTCCCTGGGTTACTGCAGCAGATGGCTTCGCTGAGGGTCCTGTTAAAAGCCCTGTCTTTTTCTTAGGGTGAACTTGATGTTTTTCTATTTTTACAATTAATTGCCCCAAGTAAAAGGGTATTTTAAATGGCTCAGCTTAAAAAAAAAAAAAAAAAAAAGGAAAAGAGAGAACTTATGGACTTCGACAATAACGTCATGTTAGTGAGTGGGGGAGTCAGAGGGCATAGAAGGGATAAATGGTGGTGGGGAAAAAAAATAATAAATGGCCCAGCTTTTGTAGAGGAGCTACAACTTCTGCAAAGAATTACCTCAGCTCACAGAGCTGTCCTGGCTGGGAAGGTTTAAAGCACAAGACTGAATAGATGCTAGAACAGAGTAGTGTTCGGTGCGTGGCCTGAAGTCAGACTGCCTGAGTTCAAAGTCCCAGTTCTGTCCATAGTGGGGGAATCTCAGGTAGGTTACTTCTCTCGGCCTGGGTGTCCTCACCTGAAAAATGATAATAGTACTAACCTCGTAAAGTGGTTGTGAATTATGCTTATCATGTGCTTGACCTTGGGACCAAGTGAGCACTCAGGTAGGCGCCAGCTGTCTTTACCGACACACAGCGTGTGACCAGGACTGAATCTGCAGGATGGAGGCCCTCTCTGCAGAGTGGGAGGGTGGGCTTCCTGATGTCTCTCAAATGCTTCCCGAACCCCAGACATACCCTCTTCTTACAAGGCAGAGCAAGAGAATAAAGGGAACCCCAAGACTGGACGGATGCGCTCTTCAAAACCGAGGAGGCACCATGGCTGCCTGGGTCAGATCTGGTGTCAGCCCAAGCGAGATTGTGCCATTCCCTCCTCCCGCCATTCAGTGGTGCCTCTGAACTTGTGTTATGGGACAGTCTGTCCGGGAAGAATCACCCCGAAGCCTCCATGGTGTGATAACCAAGTGGGGCCCTTGGGCCCTGCCCAGGGGTGCTTGTTGAAAGGAGTCCAGGGCTCCCCCTCTCCTGTCCTAAAGCATCCTGTGGCCCAACACCCAGGCTGAGTTTCAGAAGCTCTGACTCCCAAAAGTAAAATATCCCAGAGAACAAAAGGAAGCTGTTGAGGAAAGTAAGCTACGGAAGACTGAATTAGCAAAGTGTGGCTGAGGCCAGGCTCTCTGAGGCTGCACTTGGACAAAGAGGAGGGACGGCGCAAGGGATGGGGGGTGAAAATAGTCCATTTGATGGTGTTAGTGTTTCCCTTCCCCCAGGGGGGTGCTCGAATACTCGTCTGGCCAATGGCTGCCCAGCGCCTGCTTTGAAGCCCACTGCTCCCAAGAGTGGGTGACATCATGGGCAACACCCGTTTTTACGCCATGCACTGGCTGTCCTCCGGTCACCAGGCAGGCTTAAAAGCCAGCCAGAGCAACGCTTTCTCTCAAGCTCTTTCCCAGGCTCCATCCTGGACAGTCTCCGGGAATATGAAACCAGAGCCTTTTTTTGTTGTTCAAATCTGTTTCTCTGGCCTGTGGAGGAAACCCAGGTAGGGAACAGTTTCCCAGCCTCCACACGGGATGTGCTTGTGAACACCATGGGAGAACAGGACCCTTCTGAGGCACTGCTAGGTCGTCCCTGGGCAAAGGCAGAATGTCCTTTAGAGTCAGGGGTTTACTAAGCCAGACTTTCCCAGGCTATAGACAGAAATGCATAGCTTCTAGTTAATTCCTCAGGTAGAAAATCAAATTGGCCGAATCCTCCATCCCTGGACCAGTTTGAAGAAGCAGGCTTGGCCGAAACCGGTTTGGCTCAGTGGATGGAGCATTGCCCTGCGGACTGAGGGGTCCAAGTTCGATTCGGGTCAGGGGCGTATGCCTTGGTTGCAGGCACATCCCCAGTAGGGGTTGTGCAAGAGGCAGCTGAACTATGTTTTTCTCTCATCGATGTTTCTAACTCTCTATCCCTTTCCCTTCCTCTCTGTGGAAAATCAATAAAAAAAAATAATAATTTTATATATATATATATATATATATATATATATATATATATATATTTTTTTTTTTTTTTTTTTTTTTTTTT